ACTTCGCTGACTTTTCTGGTCAATTGTAACAAAATGTTTGATCACTCTGACGGAGTGTTCAATTGAATATTTATCTGAAATGGACACCTAGCATACGATTCACCGTTATCTCAAGCGAAATCAACAAAGAAGAATAATCCATTTCTAGATGACGTGAGTGTGCCCAGGTCAACATGATGCACCCGCCATGATATGTTTTCCAGCCTCTCAATATTCAGCTAAAGCCTTCGGAATGAAGAAAACTTTAAACAACTATTTTTGATATTAAATTGAAATTTTGGCAGGATCGAGATGACGTTGCTTTATAGTGTCTGCAATAGGCAATGAATGTCCCACTGAATTTACCAAAAGAGGAATGTTCAAAGGGAGGTCATATGAAAAACAGAAACGGTGACATGCAAGTGAAGAAAATGAAATGTTTAGGAAGACATAATGAAATTGAAATCATATAACAGTAATATTGGTACTGACTCGGTAACCCTTATCAATCTTCGGATAAGGTGGTCCGGTGCTGATATCCAGTTGTTCATCGAGGCCATGCAGACCAACGAACAGTTTGTAGAGCCACGCACCGATCAATGCTCCAATCATCGGACCTACGATCGGAATCCAAAAGTAGTAGTCATAAGCCCTATAATGAACGAGCTAAACTTAACTGCTCTCTACAAACTAAACGATACCTCCCATTCCGTTGAAACAATGGAAAATATATGCTAAAAATGAATGGAAACAAGACAACAAAATTGATTGATGCTCGAATTAATCAAAAATTGTGCTAACGACCACAGACGAAAAGTGTTTCAAAACAGAATGATATCGGTAGAAGATGGNGAAGTATTCAAGAAGGACTAACGAGAATACGCTCCATCCATAACCCACACAAAGAAGAAAAACACGTGGTCCAAAGTCACGAGCTGGATTGATTGCGAATCCTCCGTTTGTTCCGTAGGTCATTGCGACCATTGTCATCACCAAACCTGCCAAAAGTGGCTGCATTGGATTCGGAATGTTTTGACGACGATCCGTTATCAAACAAATCATTCCGGAAAGAATGGCAGTTCCGATTATCTGTAAAATATACATCATCAACCATCATATGAAGACAGCATGTCAGAACGTATTACTGTAGTCCATGTTCCATTGGAAATGCATTTGAAAATAACAATGAATTAAATTCCAATGCGTGAAATTTCATGGAATCATCGCCAAATTGCGTTTTACGGGAAAATTCTGTTTAGCTGATAATGACAATCACGCAAAACCTCACACAAAAGAACTCAGTTACTCCTCATACAAAAGTAATCAACTGATTTTGAAATGACCTGATCGAAAAGACTTCCGACAACCGACATGTGTGGTGAAGGAAAAGTGGTGAAGAGACCCGCAGTTGCATTAAGGCCAACAACGTAACGAATACCGCTATCAAAATTTTGGATATCATCTGAAATATTTGATATCTGATTGATGGGAATGACACAATCATTGGTGCTCATCGTATGCAGGAAGGAATAATTCATTCATAAACAGTTTAAAGGAAGTTGATATCTGAAGGAAAAATAACATCGAAATATTTAAATATAATTTTCGGCTAAGAATGACTGAGATTATCTGAACATATTCTAATTTGACTGGCGATACAGCAATTGCATATCGGACCGTCAATAATTCAGGCAGTGGGCAAGAAAACATCCATTGAAATGTTTTCATACTGTATGGAAGGAAGACAGTGAGATCACTATACGGTAGAAACGGAGAGAGATGAACAGACTGAGAGAGTAAAAGAGAAGGGTAGAGAGGGGAGGAGGAGTGAGAGGGGTATAGATGTGAATAAGCAAAAAGTTCCCCGAATTGGTATAGCAAAATCAAGAAATCATAAATCGACAATAACCACGTTTTATTGCTGCCAAAATATGGAAAAGGGGATGCTACCCAAATCTAGCAAAGCTATACGCCTATTAATGAATACGTTTATCTGATGGATCATTGAAGTGATATTTATGAAAAAAANTTCTCAGCAGAATGGTTTTGGACATTTCTGAATACTAGATTCAACTTTACTTACGAATAACTGAATGGGGCATTGAAAAGTACGTTGCAATTCGTTGAAAGGGAAGGAATCATTGGCACCAAAACCGTGGTACCGATGAGAGAATACGACTCACCGTAGTGTCCAACAAATGTAATCGCCGCACCGCAGAAAGCACCAAGAAGTTGTACAAGAGAATATATCACGAACCGAAAGAAGCTCAAGTTGCCAAGCAGATACGCAGCGAATGATATGGCCGGATTCAAATGACCTCCTGAAGGAGAGTAACTGATCATATCCGTGAAGTTAAAAGGCAGTATTCTCGATCGTTACCTGAAGCATTAGCAGCAAGAAAAACGGCGAACGTGAATCCAATACCCCACGCAATATGTGCACTTGTTATATTACCACCACCCAACACATTCTGTACATTTGCCGCAGTACCAATAAACTGAAATCAACAATGATGTTCGGAATTTCTTTAGATCTCAGAAATTCTTTAGATTTCTGATATGTTCTTACGTGTCCTTCTTTAGAAGAAGCTCTTGTCAGCTACAGATTATACTCACACTCCTTTTGGATATTGACTTTTGGATTAGGAATATGAAAGAATTAATAAGAGAATAATATAACATCGACATACCAATAAAAAGAAGGTACCAATAAATTCGGCAAGGATTTCCCGCACAATCGCGTTTTCTGTGTGAATACGTTCACTTATTATTTCGCGAAGCTTTTCCATTCGTCTAAAATCGAGATTTCAACGATGTTGTCGACAGTGAATCGTCGAATGTACGGTATCATAGGATGCAATTGCACTAACGCAACGAGCGATAAATATTGACCACATGCATATATACATATCTTCTTTCCATCGTATTCAAACTAATTGTCATTCACAAAATTTAAAAAAGATGACAGTACGGAAGCTGATAATATAACGGTACTGGAGAATGGTATTCAGAGAATATTCGGTCGAACGATGATTGTAAACGTAGATAAATGGACTTTCAGCGAAAATTTGCCCATAAAAAACGCACGTGCGTCTTTTTCGGAATCACTTCGAAGAAAGGTATCGAAGTTTTGCAGATGATTTGCAGAATAATATTGAAAAGAGCTGCTCCGAATAACGTCACGTAAAGCTTATCAGGATCGTTGAAATATTAATAATCAGACATCGCTGAACTATAAGTGCATTGGTGACGAATATTTTTAATCGTGGCACACCAAATAATTGTGGCACATTTTGATGAAAGTGCGACGAGCTTGTTTAAAGATTCATTCCTATATAATTTCTTCATGCTCAATAAATTAATCTTGCATTATGTTCCTTATTGATATTATCAACGTGAGAAAACGAAAATATAAGTGGGGACTCTTTCAGATGCTTGTGAGTTTTTTCCAAAACAAAATAGATAAAGACAAGAGCATAAAACGAAACCATGACCCAGACATCACCACATTTACAGTATGTCCACAGTTATCAATTATGAGAGAATTACAAAACAGAGAAGGCATGTAATGGAGATTGATGTTTCAACGGTAGTGTTGCTTGACCTCCGAAGTCAGGAATTTTTTTAAACTTCGGAGCTCAAGCATCACTACTGTTGAAACATCACTACGGAGAAATTTAATGGTCGGAGCTAGAACTGGCATAATTTTTTTTCCGATCCAGACTGCTTCGAAGTTGGAAATTTCGGAGCTGAAGCCGGAACCGAAGCCTTGAAGGATACGGATCCGATGCTGAATTTAAAAAAAAGCGGCACCGGATCTGGAGCTAGAACCGAAGGTTCAAAAACGCAAAGCCAGAGCTGGGGTAGAAATTACGAAAACACCAAGTCGGAGCTGGAGCTAGAGGCAAAGTTTCCAAAAAACGCAGAGCCGGAGCCGAAAATTGAGAGATACGGAGCTGCGTCAAATTTTCTCGAATTAAGCATCCCTGACTACCAGACAAAATAGGACAAACAGAGGAATTTGATAGTAATTGAAAAGAATCATCAAACTGAATGACCAAAAAGAAACATAAGGTAAAATCTGTCTGCCGAGCAATTAAATATAGTAATTGAAAAACCGACGAGCAACTTAACAAAAATTCATAATGTTCATAAACAATTTCACATTCCCATCACTTGCAGTTTTCCTCTATGAGAAATAATACTGCAAAACTGATCGACTATTGCAATGGTTGAAGGAACAATAAAAAAGTTAATATAAAATTTTAACTCGCCATATTCAGAGATGATAAGCAGGAGAGCTTTTGCAGGAGGAAAGGATGTCATACCGTACGAGTTTCCCAAGTTGAAGCAAATTTTGCTTACTTCTTTGTGGATCCCTCCGAGAAGAGAAAGGGGACTTCACAGGTTCCCCAACAAAAATTCCCTTACTATGAAGAGATTCTGGTTGCCTTCTAATAGCGGTCTAAATGCAACACAAGGATAAT